CCCCCCCCCCCCCCCCCCCCCCCACCCCCAGGAAGCAGTCCTGGATCCGCGTATGGCAGGAGCACAGCACTTGGCAAGATTTTTTGCTTTCTCGAGATGTTCTCAAAATGCGTTAAGCATCACCACTTTGTCGCGAAAGTTGCCAGTTCTGGAACGCACGATAATTTATAATTCCCACTAGGAGGATTATTTTTATAAAACCAATTTTTTCTGACTTGCTTCGATAATAGAGTTGTGGGTTGATGAAGTTTTGCATCGTTACAGGATCTTTGTTGCAGGGATCTGATGGCAATGTAGTGCAAACGCCGCTACAGAATAAAGATGGCATGAGCTATTTCATGCGCCTGTGAATGCTTTGTTGCGTATGCGTGTTGTGTTATTGCACCGGTGATTGTTTTGTTTTTTATTTTGGATGCGTTGCGCACCACCTTTTATTAGCATTTTTTTTTTTTATCAGAACCATATTTTATTATTGTTGGAAGCAATGATTGTTGACTGTTAACATTTCTGTTTCTTAATGTTTCCTCTAATCGTTCATGCCCAGGATGTTTTCTGTTAACGTCAAAATTCAGTTTACCGCATCACCACACAACTTCATTTTTTATTAATCGAAAGAATTCTCTCGTTGTTAGAGTTGAAGGCATTCGAAAGTAGCCCGAATGATAGCATGCGCCAAGAGTAGCCACTCGCCAACATGGCAGTCAGTGGTCCCTGTTTTGACGAACTGCTCAGAAGCAAGCTTGTGAAGGTTATTTCTTATAATCGAGGGAAGGTTGCTTTTTTTTAGTCACAAAATCGGGCCACAAAGGAAATTTGCCCGTATCTTTGATCGTTTGTAAGTTGACCTATCCAGCGATGTCAGCATGACCTTATTTGGGCTTTTATTAAGAACCGGTCCAGCTCGGTCGCGCAAAACGCACTCATTTTTGGGAAAATCGATGAGAATTACAAAAAAGCCTTGCACAAATACGGTTCTGTGAAGTTCTGGAATGCAAGCATTAAAGCTTACAGGCTTTTTCACCCAACGTCTGATTCCTCTCTGTAAACCCATATAACCAATATTCCATATCTTGTTCTCGAATTCTTAGCTCTGAGCAATTTTTCAGCGTCTTTTTAATTAATATTCGACTCCGCCGCTTTATCACTTCTGTCTGCAATCGAATCCAGCATCTCTTGTGTTTTGTCTCTCCAGTCCACTTCTCTCTTGTCCACAATCTGGAAGGGGCGGGGATACCTGTTAGATTTTTTTCCCAACCAGGTCGGGTCGAATCACAGGGGGACTTAGGAGGGCTCCCTGAGAGGAGAGGGGACGGCGAAATGGGGGTTCTGCCAGCAAAGAGTGGAGAGAGAGGGGTGGGAGAGTTGGAAATGAGGCTTCTGATAGGATGGAGCAGAGGG